CATAATGAATAATCAGCAGCAGCCATTGCTTACCTTCTGTTAGACAAAGGCCTTTCCCATCACCTTCCATGATTCCCATCAGTCTGCTACATCTTACCAGCAAACCTGTCTCATTTTTCCATTTTCTGTCTGGCACGAAACAATCTTTTGCTCCATCTATTATCATTCCTTCTTACATGTCCCACCCACTTTGATTTTTGTTGTTGAATGATTTCTCTTACCTTATTCTCTGCTCTCAGATCCATGTTGACTTCAGAAGACTTATTCCTAGCATTCCATTGATACATCTTATATATCTATATTTTCATTTTGGCTAATGTGATAAGCAGGTGCAAAAAACATTATATAGTATATATTTTCAATGCGTTTTGCTGTTTTATAGTCTATATCTATCTTTCAAGATTCATTACATCGACTTGACCTACCCAATATTTTGTCCCAAATCACATCTAGTTTGTTTGTCTTGTAGCTTCATTCATCAGTTTACATATTTTCAGCTTATATAAGTTCTTAGTACAGAACTTCTGTTCAGTCTATGGTGAGATAAAAATGTTGCTTCATTTATTTTCTTAATTATACAGGGGTTTAAATTTGGAAAAGAGTTCATAAGCATCAAAAGTCAATTAATTTGTGGTCTTAGAATTTGCAATAGTTTAAAATAGCTGCTTTCTAATCAATATATTGCTCTTTAAAAGTTTCACGTTTTCACCTAAAATCATAAATGATTTATAGAAATAGAAATGTTTATTTAATATAATATATGTTTATATATATATATATATATATATATATATATACACATTTTTATTTTTTTTGAAGTTATTCAACATTGCTTGAAAATGGAATAAAAATTTAATTTTTAGTTCCAAAACAGTAATTTCTGTGTCATGATGAAAACATTTAAATAATATTATAATATTATGCTCTACTTTGTATCAAGTACTTTTTAAAAAATAAATGCTAAAGAACTGTGGATTATTAATCTGATTGTTCTTTCTTTTTACTTTGAGGTGTATATATATATATATATATATATATATATATATATATTTAGTTGGATTGATGTGAGTTTGTAACCCTGGGTTTCACGCTAAACTCACATCAATCCAACTAAATATGTTAGCTCTGTACTGTGCATATATGATATATAAATAATATATATAAAAATTGCATATATGTGTGTGTGTGTGTATAATATATATATAATTTTAATCGGAATCACCCCAAGCAAGTCAGAAGATAGCGATTGACATTGCATTTAAATTTTTGCATATCAAAGCTGACTGGAAAGCAAGAAGCAAGGGAGTTCCAAAAGGAAGAAGTGCAAGAGAAGAAACTGTTGGGATAGAACTCCTGGCTACATCTAGCCAACTCAACCATAGATTGATGAGATCTCAATGCCAGTCTAGTGCTGCACTTAAATTCAAAACATCTAGGTACCATAGTGAAGAGCTTTCAAACAATTACCATGAAAGTATAGGAAACAGAGAGAGACAACTTTATATATACAAACCTCTCATCAACAGACTAATAGGGGGAGGGATGGTCTGTTAAAGCGTATTGTCCGTAGATGGAGGAATTTGTCATTCACACTTAGATTTGTATGCTTCTTTTTACACTTTCCTTATGTTTCGATGCCATGATGAGGGCAGAACAATTAATATCTTAATCAAAATAACAAAAATAATAGATTTCTCACAGCTACTTTCTCATGCACAAGTCTTTGTTTACAATTGAAAATCCCGCCATCGCTGCCAGGAGGTCACTTTGAGAACTAATATGACTCATTCCGTTAAGCCCACAAATTTTGAAGTACATCACTGACAATTTGGAAATTTTTTTTTTTCTGCAGATCTTTTTTATTTTGCCTGCATATTTTGTCCGTTGCATCCAAAGTCCGTCAATTGGTGGTGGGGGGGTCCATAGATGTGAGTTTTTTCTGTGTGTGTATATATATATATATATATATATATATATATATATATATATATATAATCAAAATGTTGTTTTTCAATTTTTCTCCTTAATCTCAACAGAAACAATGATTCTATAGTTTTCAACTTACTTATTTACATGAAAAAAATAAAATAATAGTCTGAAGCCAGAATCAAAATCCAATTTTACTGGCCAATAATCTGAAATAATGTTTGTATGAACTAAAGATTAATTAACAAGTTTTGTTTTTCTTTTAAAAAACATATTCACACAAACATTCAAAGATCACATTAATTTAACACTCCTATACTTATTTATCTGTATATACACTCATGAGTCAAAACATTATAAAAAGTGATATTTGTAACTGCACATCAGAAGTATTTAAGCAGTTAAGGTGGCTTCAAGTATTTCATTTTGATGTGTTGAATGCAACAGATTTTGACAAAAGATTTGAATGATTTTGATAAAGGCCAAATTGTTAGAGACAGTAAACTGTCTGAGCATTCCTCAAGCAGCACATCTTGTGAGATACTCACATTTTGTTGTGGTAGGTACCTATCAGCAATAGTCCAAAGGAAAAATCATCAACTGCCAACAAGGCACAGGGGGGGGGGGGTCAAGATTTTACTGATACATTTGAACAAGGGCTTTTCTACGAAGCTCACCAAGGGCCACTGTGTTAAAGCTATCTGCAATTTATGGGGCAGCATAGATACTAATCCACATCCACTACTAAAAGTGTCTTCAGTGGGTCTGCAGGTGTTGGAACTGGACTTTTAATGGAATAATAATTCCAGGTCTACTGAATCTTGCTTTCTTTTGAATTAGGTGAATTGCTGGGCAAATATACAATGTTATTCTGGAGAAACATTGGCACAAGGGTGCATTGTGGGAAAACAAGCTAGTGAAGACAGTAAGAGAATTTAGATAACATTCTGCTAGGAAACACTGGGCACTATCATTTACATTGAAGGTATTTTGTCTGGTCATATACCAGCTACCTCAATATCATTGAAGACAAGGTATACCTCTTAATGGCAAGTCTTCAAGGGTATTAATGGCATCTTTCAGCAGAACAGTGCACCCTATCCCACTGCACCAATTATACAGGAATGGTTTCACTGTGTTGGCCTGGCCAACAGATTCCCTTCAGATCTTAATCTCAGTGAATACTTATGAGATGTTTTGGATCAAGTTCACTCTTGTAACTTGCAGCAGTTAAAGGACTTATTGAACATTTCCCATAGGAAACCATTAGAGGTATTGTAGGGTTTATACCTGATTAGGGAAGTGCTGTTTTGTCAGCATGTAGGTCAGCATCTTATGACAGGTGGGCATATTTTGGGTAATTAGTGTATGTAAAAAAATTACTCAGTATCAAATTCAATGTACTTATAAAAAATGTTTATAAAATGAAGAGAGCATTTAAAAACTAACATAAAAGTTCATGGACTCTTTGACAAATCTTTATATCACCTTTTTCAATTACTGAATCAATACATGACTGTTTTACATCTCTGCAAGTGTCGGTAATTATTTGTTATAAGTGGATTTTCATTCATTTCAATTTTCAAAAATAATGATGTTCATTAATGGTTTTCATTTGATATCTAAATAATGAACAACCTTGTCCTAAACCATATAACACTATATCATAGATCTATTTATATATTTGGGTTTTGATTTCTTTCAAATAAACTTAGGTTCCAAGCATATCACTTAACAATATAAGCTACCTTTCAAGTAAGTCGTTGTATATAGTGTCACTGCTAAATCATAAACTAGAAAATATTTAGAAAATAAACTCTGTTTATGTTCCTGAACATGTATATCCTGAAAGAATACTTACTGGAGCAAGATTACTAGATATCTTGGAAATAAATTTCTTCAGATAAAATATTAAAAGTAGAGATCAGCATAAATTCATAATTATTACAAATAGGTGGTGGATTTTAATTTTCTATACAGGATGTCAAGGTTTCAAAGTAATTTTTCTCAGCTGATATAAATTATTTCCAACCAGAAAACTGCAGGGTCAGGATTATATGTCCAGGAATCATTCTATCTGGCTTTTTTTTTACTTTTTCATGTACTACATTTTTTGACATTCTTAAAATAAATTGTGTACTAGTGTTTTAACAAGGTGGGTCACAGCAAGAATTATATACTAGATAACTAAGTATTGCTTTAAAGCAAACTCCATTTCTTAGTGTCATTAAGCTAATGATTGCTTTCATCTGTTTTCAACTGCTGGCTTTTATTAATCATCTGAACAGAATATTCAATTTTCGTCTCTTAAAATAGTGTACCAACTTCTTAATACTTTCATTTTATTTTCAATCAACAGCAGCCTCAAAATATTTTTTCTAATTATTTCTGATAGAATATTTTACATCATAATTGTGGTGATATCTTTTTCCAGTCAAAAACAAAGGTTGCTATAATTAGTAATTAAAGCAAATGACTAAAAAAGAAATAAATAAATAGTATGTTTACACTTTAAAAATATTCAGCTTAGAATTATGTTATTAATTTAATTTTTGCTATGATTTAAAATAAAATTTCAGTGTTGAGTAAATTTAAAAGCACACCTGTTTAAATTAATCATCTGATTGTTGCCAGAAAAGAAAAAATGTGAAAGAAGGGTTAAAAAACCATAAATTGTTGACAATAAGACAAATACTACTCTTTAGACTGATGTGTTATTTAAATCAAAATTATCTGTTATCTTCTGGGACTTTGCTATATGATAAAATCTTTTAATTTTCTATTTTTGAAAAACTATTATCAGAAGTAGGTAAGTTGAATTTTGGAAGAAAATTTGTTTTTATAAGAAATGAATGCATTTCTCACATCTTATAAATAAGAGTGAGTGAAAATATATTAAGCATGATTAATTATATACTAAATTAATTTTATACTAAAAAGAATTTAAGGGTCTTAATTTTCATATACACATAGTATAATATTAATAGATTGTTTAAAGTATTCCAAATTGTTCAGTTTCAAAAGATTTCACTTTATTTACAAGGTAATTAGAAAAGGTCTTTTGTACTTTTCAGAGTTTGATGGAGAAATTCAAGTGCCAAACTGAGGTTCTTGCATCATATCATTTGAGGTGTGTAAGTTGCATCCTCTCCAAGTGATTGCAGTTATGGACAAAGAACACCATCATCTATATGATCCTGTATGGACCAATAATTCTAAAGATGCAAAACCTTCCACGGGGTGAGTTTAACATGCATACACATATATACACAATTTTTATTATAAGTTATTTATACATCTTCTTACACAACATTGATTGTCATCATAAAAGTATTGTTAAATATCATTTTTTCTTGGATTTGAATACATTTATAGACCATACTAATTATGTACATTGTATTCTATATTTGCTTTAACAATTCCATACTAGCTTAGTTACATGAGAAAATAACAATTCAAAAACTTAAGATGACACATTAGCAGCATACATAAAATGGCTCATCATAGCCATTAGATGAATGATTCCTTTCCTTTGTTTGTAAATATAAGACCTTTGAACAAATGCGAGAGATGTATCAAAAAATAGGAGAATATTGTCACATGCATTTGTATTTAGATATAATATATTGATTTTGTGTAACATTTGTAAATATGTATAACTGTTAGAAGATAGGATTTAAGGCTGGTATCTAAGATTGTATCCTGTGAGTCGAGTAGACATAAAACAAAAAAAATCTTTCGAAACAAAATTAAAACACCTGCTTCACAGTATGCAATTTCCTTGCGAAATCTTAAATGCTTTCACATTAAATGTTAACTATAAAGTGTGAGTAAATATGTCATAAGATGATCTAAGCTGTAATAATTTCTTTTAATTGCTAATTTAGTTGAGAAAGCAATGAAGTCATTTTAAAGGGAAAGCATATAAAAATAAAAATATATACAATATATATATACAAATAAAAAGATATCTTTTGATGAAATATACATTTGATGTTTAATTCCATAATTGTTAGGAAAATGACGAGCTTTTAATAATTGTAAAAAAAGAGTACATTTACATGAAACTAATTCTGACAAAAATTTGTACTGAAAGTTTGAATTCTTTTCCATATAATTTTTAATACTGTATTCATTTAGGTTGTACACGATCATGGCTCTCCACAGATTCCTTTATTATCTGTGAATGACCATAACTTTTTGATAAAAATAATGAAGTGCGTTCCCGTTGCCTTCAATATGGTTTTGAATTTAAAACTGTCTTGACTGTCATCCGAATCTAAAGAACCCAATCTAACCCTTAGCTGAGCAGGGGGTGGGGAGACATATTTATGCCTTTCCCAAGGGCACTAATACAAAAGTAAAGACAGCCAAGGAGGCTGGAATTTTAACTCGGCTTGCTGATAAACATTATACCTACTCCCAATAAAAATAAAAATTGAACTAGGAAATCAAATGATTATTTAATCTCTAATTATACATTTTAAACGATTAATAAAAATTGTTATTACAGCTAGACAAGATTTCTAAAGAAAAAAATGCAGAGATTAATTTTTTTTACAGTAAAAATAAATTGGCTTTCTTACTCTCTAAGCAGTAGGCGAAAATTTATTATGTTAATAGAAAACGATTGTCTCCCTTCTCTGTTATAGCAATTTCTAATTTCTGTACAAAAACATTTACTAAATGAAATATTTTTCGTTTTCATTATTCATTTTTGCTCGGTTGTTTACTGCTTACCAGAAACTTTTAAGTTTCTATTCATATTTAATACCAGCCTTTTTCAGAACAAAGTACCAACATTAGGACTAAAATTTTCACCACGCTAGTAATTCGAAATGCGTTGTTGATAATAGAAAATTATCAAATTGAATCATTTCTTTGATAGTGATTTAAAAAAAAAATCTCATTTAAAGACTGGAAATTACAATAAATAGCTTACATTTTTTTTTGAAAGTATCTATCTTCGAATTTTCCTTAAAATGGCGATATTCATTATGATAATGACAACGACGCATGAATTTTTTTTATTTAAAAAAAAAAAACGAAGTACTTCCGAAAGAAAACTCGGGACCCATATTAGATCACTGTCTTGTGCCAACATTAATTACATTACAATTGAATTAATTAAGTTTTCGTTAACGTGACGCTAATCAAATAAAGCAAACAAACAAAAGGCAGAAAACTTGATTTATCCTAATTTTCGATAAAAGGTGTTTAGTTTATGCAGTAAATTTGGAAGTGTGTTGGTATTTATTTATAATTTAAATTTTAAATTACAGCTCAACAAAATCGTTAATAATTCAAATCGTGATCACAAATACAGTTACTTACTACTTCAATCAAATTTAGTGTAAATTAAATATTTAGTAAAAAATACTTTTGTCATGATTTTAAAAGGGATTTTTTTTTCTATATTAAAAAAATGGCTGCTAAATATAAAAATGTTTTTTTCCGGAGAAAATATCAATAACAAGCTAAAAACTATTTTTGTTTGTGTGAAACAGCTTTACTTTGTCTTTAAATAATTAAAGCTTCATTGGAAACTTAAATTACCAAATACGTCCTTCTAATTGTTTTTGGGACCTATTTTTTTACAAAACACAAACACATTTGATTTTTAAAGTAATAATCGCTTAAAAATAAATTAAAAAAATAAATCATAAGAAGCCTTTTTTATTTATTTCACTATTTAAAATTATTTATATTAAAAAAGTTTCCTCAAAGAGACAAAATTACATTTGATTTTTTTTAAATGAAAAGTATTTTTACTTGTTACTTCCAATGTATTTTCGATTCTAAAGGTTAAAAAAATGAATTTTTAAAAATAAAAAGCATTCTAGAATTAATTCATTTAGCTTTCAAGTACCTTCTAGCAATAGATCGAATAGACATTCAAATTACGTTGTTACATTTATCTTTAGAATTTATTTTAAGTAAATTGACTTTTTACATTTTATAATAATACAAATTAACTGCCTCATCATTAGTGACTACTAATTAGTACAAGTAGTTTGTAATAACGTACACTGCAAAGTGAAAGTGATAGGTAATTTATCTTATATATATATATATATATATAATATAATGATGCAAGTTCAAATGTTAATGTAAAAAGAGAGCCGAAAATTTTTAAAACTGGTTTAAAAGTAAAAGCCAATCCTCCACTTTCTGACTAAAACTCAGCAAATGCATTCAACATGGCCGACCATTAAAGAAAAAGCTCTTAAACTTAGTTTCCACTTTTCCCACTCTTCTGTTGTTCTACAAGAATGCATTCCATTACATTAAAACAAACTTAACAATATATTTTTATTCACAAAATTACACAAACATAATTGTCGTCGACATTAATACGATTTATACACACATATACTCGATATTCGTGGCGGCGGCGTCTCAAAAACAATGTTACGAATTTTCTTTTGAATTTCTATGTATTAAAAGAAAATACTCAACGTCTTTCTACCAAACCTATTTTTATAACAGATTATTTTAAGATGTGTTATCGAACGTTTATGATATTATACTCTAAGTAAGTGTTAGTTCTAATAGTACAAATGATAAGTTTTACTCCTGGTGGTAGGTGAAGTTATCATTTCTCCTTGTTTCGTTGTTTGTTCGTCTGTCTTCGAAAGCGACAACTGTTAAATGTGATAAATTTCCTTTCGTAGGAGAAGGGTTGCTGCAGTATATTTCTTTCTCTCTATCCATTATTATTATTACCAGTCTTTACGGGTTAGTGCTTTTCCTATAGCGTTATAATGGTGTGATGCCTGTCTCTCTCTCTCTCTTTAACACACCCATTGTATTACATTCATTTGTTTCTCTCACTCACTCTTTCTGTGAGTGAGTGAGTGTGTGTGTGTTGGCGCTAACTGGGTCATGTGGTACTTGCTGAGGAAACATGGCTGACCAGAGTGAGTCGGAAGACCTGGACACTGATCGACATCGTCTTTCTAATCAACTTATGTAAGTTATATATTGATTTTAAAACATTTCATACTCTTACCCATTCGATCACCCGTATCAATGATTTCTAACCACATTTACAAATACTGTCAACTCTAATGAAGCCAAAGACAGCAACGAGCACCATTTCGACACATGAACGCAATGATCATAAAACATACACAAATATAGCCTAACCTTTCACATATATGTTTATTTATGTTTGTGTATGTCCAACAGTTTTTATTTTTTTAATTCTATGTTTATTTAATTTCTTTGACTAAAGTAAGACTTTGATCGTTAATAAATGCATTGAACTCTAGCCGAAATCCCAATCGGGGTAGAGATCATGTTATTTATTTCCTCTACTTGTCTTTATTAACCTCCTTCACAATCTTCACCATGATTTGTTCTCTTCAAATGGATATCATAATCTTTTATTAAATGGTGATAAGAACAGGATTTGCTGAAAAACAGTTCCAATCAGCAAAATTTTGTTTTGTTGCTTTCGATCACCCCCATTTTATTTAGTTACTAAGTACATGGTGATTGAAAGATTTTTCACAAGTCCTTCAAAATCCTTTGAAATTTAAATAGGAATTGCAGTTTACGTTATTTCTATTTTAAAGATAGATTTATGTTCATGGTACTAGCATTGACTTCTAAATATCGTTAATATAAAAAAAAAAACATTTAATGATAATTTCTGATTTCTATTGATAATGAAACTGGCACTAATCAACAACTATACAGAAGAAAAATAATAGGAGAAATTAGGTGGTTTTTGTTTAGCTTAATTTTCACTATGCAATCATTCTGCTAATTTTTAAGTAATAATAATAACATGAACAACTTCTTACGCTAGGTTTGCAATCAGCTTGTAAAAAAACATTCAAACGGAAAACAGTGATTTAAAAAAAAACAAACACAAACAAAACACTAATGAAACCCAGAACAAGTTATTTTGTAGAAGGCTATAACCATTTTTCTATCGAATTTCTGAGGAGTAATTCAGATCCCGAGGAAGATGTGTAGTACACGCAATTTAAAAAAAAATCATTTTGACAAGGCCGGAAAAATTGTTTTATCACATTTTCAACGAGTCTTGCCTGATTAAATTCAATTAAACGTTTATTTTTTTTAGGATCACGAAGACAACGTTTTCAACGCTTATATCATTAATACCCTAAATGCATTTATCGACATAATTTATAAATTTTAGTTATAAGTTAAGCGACAACCTTGTTAATTGATAGATATACAAGAAGACTAGTTTTGTTTTTTGGCTA